CAGATTTTCCTTCGTAACTAGACGCCATTGTTTAGCAGTGATACCGGACGGGAAATGCTATCCCCCGTGCGTGGAGGACGGTACCGCAATGTGGCAGCACTAGTGTTAGGATTAGGGTTAGGATCAATGTTAGGGTTAGGGTTAGGTTAGGGTTAGGGATATAAGGCCATGTCTAGTACGGAAGTATGACTGTGGAATCTTTCTGTGGAAGATTTGGACTTTGAAGTATACGTCAACTGTATCACGTGACTGTCCCTCCACGCCCGGGGGATAGCAACACCCGAACCTCACACTGAGATGAAATCGCTCTCGCTAGGGGGCGATACCTCCGTATTGTCGTTCATTCTATAACTCGCTTGTTTTTTATTTTGTTTTATTTTCTCTGCATTGCAGACGATCCCTCTGTCGTCTGTATCGTTTGTTCATCCTGTAACTCGCTCGTTTTTATTTATTTTCTTTCTCCGCGTTGCAGACGCAGGCAGGAGGTCACCCTACCTACACGACGCAGGCCCGCCAGCCCGCTGTCTATGACGGCGCCAACCAAGAGCCGGCGGCGCCTTCTGGTGTCAACATGTACTCAGCAAAAGGTGGGTTCTCTCTCGCGAGTCTGCGCCATCGCGTTTCATAGGAATGTCGAGATTTCTTCGTCTGCGACGTTTTTTTGTCGGATAAAAATTGACCGTTGCGGGGTCTCTGACATAAATATTTCCCGATTTCGTTAAAATTTGTAAAAGAAAAAAGTTCCCCGGGTTACGCTGACCCGCTTTGCGTCTGCCAGCCCCAGGTGGCCTCGCGGCAAGCGGCAGACGACGCTACCCGTCATACACGAGTCCTGAGCAGGAGACGCAGTACAGCGCAGTGCCATCTAGTGGCTACCAGCAGAACTACGGCCTGTCCGCGCCGTACGCGGGTTATCAGCCGGTGCAGCAGGTGGGTGTGGCATGTAATTACTCTAGTTAATAATATGTTCATTATTTTTACATGGTCGTTATACACTCGTACCTATATACTTGATTTTTTTTACATTATATATATATACACTATAATACATACACATGTTGTATATATATATATATATACAATACATAATATACAATAATACTAAATATATATATATATTGATATTTTGTGCTTGTGTGTTACTACTGTTACTGCGTGTGTTCGCTCGTGTGATAATTAGTACATCGTTTATTATCTTTCTTCTCGTTTGACGCAGCAGCCTGTTGCGCCCGTGCAGCCCCTGGCAAGTGTCGCCCCCTACAGTTCGGTGCCGGAACCGATGCCGAGCCAGTATCCTCAGTCGACCTTTTATAATCCGTCTGCACAGCCCGCACAGATTTCACCTGGTGAGTGATCTGCGAAGCTAATTTCGTTACCGCGGTAACGGCGATGCTTCGGTGTTGCGAGTTGACCCAAGATGGCCGCCGTGTCATGGATGTAGCACCTCTGCTAACACAGAGTCTTACGCTGTGCTACTTTCTCGGTATAATATATTTTACGCAAACACGAGTGGCGCCCCCTGTTGAGAGACAGATCGGCCCTTCCGAGCGCCGCGTCGATTTATTTTTATTTTTTTAAATATTTTTTTGGATTTTAGTTTATTTAGTTTAGTTTATCTTATTTCTTCTTTCTTTTTTTTTGGACGCAGGTCAAAACTACACGCCGCCGAGTTCGGCCGGCTACCAGCAGGTGTCGCCACCGTCGCCCACGGCGGGATCTTTCGCCGAGCCGTCGCCGCCGGGCTGGAACGACCCTCCGCTGCTGAAACGCAAGGTAGGCCTCGCCGCGCGAAATACTGCGAGTTCGAACTCCAGCCGATGAAATCGTATGGGGAGCGGGGATTTCTTGAGGCAGAAAAACTCGGGGGGGGGGGGCCGTTGTCAGAAACGTCGTAAAGTTAATTTTAGTGTTAATGCTGAGATAGCACTTACGACTAATGTTAATGTTACTAGAATTTGTGTTTCTGACAACGGCTGCGCCCGGCTCTCAGCGCTGGGAACTGTGAATTCTTTGCGCGTGCGACTTGCCGTGTAAAATGGCCCGCCTTGGCGGGTTCGTCTGCAACCGTCGGTTGTCAATGTCACTAGTACGAACCTTTTTGTTCGTAGTTCTTCATTCTGTCGTATCTTTATATTTAACTCTTTTTTGGGGGTTATTTAATTTTGTTGACAATAAATAATAATAAATAAATAGATAAAAATAAATAACGATAATTTAATGTTACGTCGATGATAAGAGGTATCGTTGCGCAAAGCTCATAGTGTCGCGATCGCTTTCGTCGCTGCAAAGACGACGACCTTGGATTGTGAAGGGTGTCCGCCATCTTTCCGCTTACAAACGGTTCGCGGTTACGACTTTCGATTCGTCACAACCGCGTTCGTCGAGCGTTTTCAGGCCAAACGGCCCGCAGCGTGAGCCCCAAGCGCCCGCCGCCCCAGGTGTCCCATGAACATCTACACACCTGCGGAGAGGTACCGCAACTACAGCAGGCTTGAGGGGCCGAAGGTAAGCCAAGTATATAACTGAAGAAGGACCAGAGCGACTTCATTAATACAGGAGTTACCGGTCTATAGTCAGGGAAAAGTCACGGAGAAAAAAAAGAATTTCAAAGCTCAAGGAATTAATTAAAACGATACATAGCGTCAGGGAAACTGGTCTGCCACAAAAAGTCCGCGGAAAAAATTTGTAATGCTAGTTGTTCAAGACAAGAATTGAATGAGAATAATGTTAAATAATGGATGCTATGGCTGGGGGAAAGCGATGGGAATGAAATAGGCATGAAGAACAAGAGGCTGATGGGACAGAGAAAAAGAGCGCGAGAAATTAGAAGAACAACTTAAATGAAAAATAATAAATCGAAAAGACGGATTAGTCGGCAATGCAACAGGCCGAGCATCCGGCTTGGGGGAAAAGCAAACTCATTAAATTGGACTACGTCACAAGTTTCTGTCGTGTTTTTTGTAAATTTTTGTTTGCCATTTTTTTCATTTAAAAGCAAGTACTTACCGCGACTAAATGTGTCGTCAACTTCTTTACCTGATAAGATTGTTTCTCAACTAGTTAAATCACAAAAAAGCTGGACGTTTGATATTATGATCCTGACTTAATTCCTATCTATGAGCTATGTATGAGTAACGAGTGTATTGTTTACATCGAACAATATAAGTAAAATAGGAGAATATAATGCAGCCACTTTAACCATAAAAAGCTGACAAAGAGTTACTTGCATTTTGTGCCAAAAAGTTGACATTTATTTTTTATTTTTTACATATTTACGCTGACTTAATCACTTTAAATGAGAGGTGTCGAGACAGCTGTAAGTACACGTCTTGTGGCGTTCGTGGCACGCATGATGGCCAACATGTGCATGGCAACATTTATGCAACATTGACGGCAACATTGAGGTTGCCAACATTGCATGGCAACAATTTGCATGCGGTTTCTATCTGCCTATCATAACCGTCTCGCTCTCAGGTGGTTCAATCCGACCGCATTTGATGCCACAACAACAAGCAACAACAACAACAAACAACAACACAGCACAGAGCAACAGCAGGTTATTGTAGCATCACTTCCTCACTACACTCTCTCTCTCTCTTCTTGCCTATCTATTCCTGCGCAAGCACCTTGACCATCACTAACGACTATCTAACACTCTCTAATGCTGTTCTAAGACTAGCCATATCTTCTTTTTGATACTGTCTAAATTGCTGTCTAGAAGACTAACCACGTAATGCTGTCCGCTGTCTCTTTACTTCCTGTTAGGCGGTAGCGTACGTTAGTAAGTGTGGGTCTTAACGCCCACTGACGCCTCCACTGTCACAACATTCGAATGCACGCTTAAAAAAAAAAAAAATATATTATATGCTATGATGTATCATGTAAATATAATATATATATATATATATTATATATATATATGGTACATATGTATTATATATATATATAATGTATATACATGTGTTGATTATATCGTTAGTGATGCCTGCGCTTGGGCTCATTAATTAGCCAATTTAATTATGCACCGTTGCCGACGTGAGCGGAGACGCGAGCGACAACTGGTAGCAGGGCGACAGTTGGTAGCAGCGGCCACAGGTGTAGCATGGCCAAGGTGGTAGAGGGCCACAGCGTGGGTTAGCAGGGCCACAGCGTGTACAGAGGCGTGTTCAGGAAAGCGAACGCTCTGCGAGCGCTCGCCTTATGAACGACACTGCGCGAGCGCTGACGCGCTCACCTTCTGAACGACACTGTGCGAGCGAAGCGCGCGCAAACTCGAAAGCGGTTCGCGCCAAGCGCCCGCGAGTTGTTTACAAATGGCGACGGGGCCCAATCTGGCGCGAATGGGCAATCTAAATTTTACTTCAATTGCAATCTATTTTCAACTTCATGTTCATTTTCATTCATTCATTTACTTCTAAATTCAATTTCGATCAATTGCGCTCTGCTAATCGTTTAACAGTACTTGTTTCGAACGACATTAAAAAGTCTCGCCTATTAAAATCTGCTGAGTAACCCTCCATGGCGCCGCCATCATTGGATAAGGCCAGCGCACAGCGAGCGCTCGACTGTCGCCGTCTCAAGAGGCGCTGCGTGGTTATCGTAGCGTTCGCATCGAGCGCTCGCTCTCCTGAACACCCTCTGGTGTCGCAGCGGATCTGACTAGAGTGATGGTCCACTTTAGAGAAGCGCGAGAGCGGGGTACGTGACACGCGACATCATAAGATTGCGGCCCTCGCCAATGACGGGATGCGGCCAGAACGGGAACCTGGAGAACCCAAGAGTGACAGGATATTCATTCCCGATGGCGGCCACGGGAATCGCCGGAGGGTTAATCATAAGGCGAGCGGCACTCAGGCACGGGTACACTCGGACTCTCTCGTCTCTCCCTGATTGTCTAACTCCCTTGTTTTTTCACGGGGTTTGGCAATTTGTACGCTACGATGCATTTGTGATGAGCTCGCACGCGCAGCATTGCTAATATATATAAAAACATATATATCTCCACTACTGCTGTCCCTGCCACGGCTTGGTAGCACTGTTCTCTTTCTCTTTATAATCTGTTTCTATCCTTTATCTTCTTTATTTAATGTATTCAAAGCCAGATATGCTATAAGCCATTGAAATTCATAATCATATATATATGATATATATATATATATTATATGTATAAATATAGTAATATATATATATTAAGTATATATCATATTATATGTATATATGTATATATATATATAGTATAATATATATGTATGTTATATATATATATATATATACTATATGTATATAATATATATATATATATTTACATCAGCCGTGTAACTAAGCATTTTGGTATTCAGATATATGCCAGAGCGAAATTTATTACTAAATTAATTCCATTATATTCATTCGCCCATGCTATTCGATCTGCTATGAATTTACAATAATTGTAAAAACAAAAACGACAAT